ACCAGAGTCAGACCAGAGTCAGACCACAGTCAGACCAGAGTCAGACCAGAGTCAAACCAGAGTCAGACCAGAGTCAGACCACAGTCAGACCAGAGTCAATCCAGAGTCAAACCAGAGTCAGACCAGAGTCAGACCACAGTCAGACCAGAGTCAATCCAGAGTCAAACCAGAGTCAGACCAGAGTCAGACCATAGTCAGACCATAGTCAAACCAAAGTTAATCCAGAGTCAGATCAGAGTCAGACCAGAGTCAGACCAGAGTCAGACCATAGTTAATCCAGAGTCAGACCAGAGTCAGACCATAGTTAATCCAGAGTCAGACCAGAGTCAGACCAGAGTCAGACCACAGTCAAACCAGAGTTAATCCAGAGTCAAACCAGAGTCAGACCACAGTCAAACCAGAGTTAATCCAGAGTCAAACCAGAGTCAGACCAGAGTCAATCCAGAGTCAATCCAGAGTCAAACCAGAGTCAAACCAGAGTCAGACCATAGTCAAACCAGAGTCAAACCAGAGTCAATCCAGAGTCAAACCAGAGTCAGACCAGAGTCAATCCAGAGTCAATCCAGAGTCAAACCAGAGTCAAACCAGAGTCAGACCAGAGTCAGACCACAGTCAAACCAGAGTCAAACCACAGTCAAACCAGAGTCAAACCAGAGTCAGACCAGAGTCAATCCAGAGTCAGACCACAGTCAAACCAGAGTTAATCCAGAGTCAATCCAGAGTCAATCCAGAGTCAAACCAGAGTCAAACCAGAGTCAAACCAGAGTCAAACCAGAGTCAATCCAGAGTCAGACCACAGTCAAACCAGAGTTAAACCAGAGTCAAACCAGAGTCAATCCAGAGTCAAACCAGAGTCAAACCAGAGTCAGACCACAGTCAAACCAGAGTCAAACCAGAGTCAGACCAGAGTCAATCCAGAGTCAAACCAGAGTCAGACCAGAGTCAATCCAGAGTCAAACCAGAGTCAATCCAGAGTCAGACCAGAGTCAAACTAGAGTCAATCCAGAGTCAAACCAGAGTCAATCCAGAGTCAAACCAGAGTCAGACCAGAGTCAATCCAGAGTCAAACCAAAGTCAAACCAGAGTCAGACCAGAGTCAGATCAGAGTCATACCAGAGTCAGACCACAGTCAGACCAGAGTCAGACCAGAGTCAATCCAGAGTCAAACCAGAGTCAGACCAGAGTCAAACCAGAGTCAGACCAGAGTCAAACCAGAGTCAGACCAGAGTCAGATCAGAGTCAAACCAGAGTCAGACCACAGTCAAACCAGAGTCAAACCAGAGTCAGACCAGAGTCAAACCAGAGTCAAACCAGAGTCAGACCAGAGTCAGATCAGAGTCAAACCAGAGTCAGACCACAGTCAATCCAGAGTCAAACCAGAGTCAGACCACAGTCAAACCAGAGTCAGACCAGAGTCAGACCAGAGTCAATCCAGAGTCAAACCAGAGTCAAACCAGAGTCAGACCAGAGTCAATCCAGTCAATCCAGAGTCAAACCAGAGTCAGACCAGAGTCAATCCAGAGTCAAACCAGAGTCAGACCACAGTCAGACCAGAGTCAATCCAGTCAATCCAGAGTCAAACCAGAGTCAGACCA